GCGAATGACTGGAAATGTCAGGCACTAGGGGCTGGACTGTGCAGACATAATGCATGTTTATCCCTTCACAGGAGACCCCAGGCTCTGAGGATCAGAGTGAAAGCTAAACAAAGTATCCCCAGATGCCCCTAGCTGGAAGGAGAGGTGGAGCTGAGGTAATAGGCAGATGAGGCAACCCAAGGACAGTGTGGGCTCTCAGAACTAAATGGGGACGTCATCCAGAAGGGACCAAAGAGCAGGATAACAAAGAAAACTAGGACACTAGCCAACAGCTTAGGCCATGGGAACGGTTGGGACCAGGCAGGCTGAGGAAGGAGTACATTCTGCCCCCAATTACTCCCCTTTCACCCCTTTCCTGACCTTCCTTGGTGTGGAGTCTGTGCAGCAGCTGATTTTGGCCACTGCTTATATATGACACACCAGTGACACCTGAGGCTCCCTAACCTCTGCAGCAAAGGTCACAGAAACTAAACTGCCCATGAGTCCACTGATGACTAGACCCTCAATCAAGCACTAAGGAAGGGGACTGAGTCTTCAAGTATTTCTAAGGGGTTCCTCCACTGTCCAGGCTGGGTCAAGTGTAGCAAATGAATTGCTGGGCTCGGAGATGAGACAGATCAGAGTTTAAACATTGTTTATGCCATTCGCTGTCTGTTAGCTCGGCAAAAACTCAGGATAGCCATCTACATCAGTCTGTTTGAGAATTAAGTGCAATAAGGCACGTTAAAGTCAGTGTCTAACACACAAAAAATACCCAATGAAGACCCCACTCGTTCCATTTATCCCACTAATGAGAGGGTTCAGTTCAGGCAGATGACAGCCGCACTACTTACTGGCTATGTGATTTTGGGGAAGGCACTTTCAACGCTGAGTCTTAGCTTCTTAGTGAAACAGAGATAACATCAGTTACTTCACATGGCTTTTGAAGGAATGAAGTAAGAAGAGTGTATGAAATGTCAAGCACAGCTCCTTACACATGGTTACTTCAATTGTCATTACCTGTTATTACTGGGGTGTGACCAAGATGGGGAAGGGGGCGGAGGAGGGAAGGGCGGCCTTCAAACTAAGCTCAGGTCTAGGCTGCTGACTGCAGTGGCTTACTTAATGCTCTGCCTAGCCTCTTAGGAACCACTCACCAGGTGGTTCCAGATAGAGCCCTCTTTGCTGCGCTCGTCAGGGGTCAGACGCACGTACTGGCTCGTGAGCATTGTGCTGCCTTGGAAGTCCCAGAGGAGCGTGGAGCTGGAACCGACCCCTGTGGGCAGAGACACGGGCACAGACAGGTGCGTAAAAGGCCAGGCCAGGGCTCGCTTTGCCAGAGGCAGGGAACCCACAGAACTGCTCTGACCAGAATAAAGGGCACCCCTTCCCCAACCCCATCCAGCCTCGTCCTCACCCTGAACTCATTCCCGCCCCAGGCCTCACCGTGGTAGGGCTTGATGAGCGAATGCTCCCGTTTGAGGTGTTCACTGTTGCCGTCAGTTATATCGGCAGCCACCGGCCCCAGAAACAGGAGAAAAAGTAGAAGTGTAGTGGGGCCAGGGCCGGGGCCGGGAAGCCCAGGCCTCCCCGGGCATCGCCGGCCCCAGCCCCAGCGCCAAACCCAGCCTGCTGCCGCCGCCGCCGCCGCCACCGCCGCCGCCGCCGCCGCCGCCGCCATTCTCCGTTCCTCTCGACCACTTCCGTCTTAGGACTTCCGCCTTCCGGGTGTTCCATCTAATAGACTCCGGCCGGAAGCCCTCCAACCCTAGTGTCACCTGGGAACTGCCAGCAAAAGCAAAGCCTCGCTGCCGTGGAAACGGCGGCTGTATTTGCTGAGCAGCCTCCCATCCTGGTCGAGTGCCTTGGCGGCTGCGAGGCACCTGTCAGCCAGCCTCAGCAATGGGTTCTTATGAGCGACAAGAGCAGCAACCAATCATGGAACAGCACTTTCGGCTTGTGGGCCAACGGGGAGCAGAGGGATGATTTGTGTCGGCGGGCAGCGCGAGGGTCGTCTGTGAAGTGGGGCATGCTGGAACTTGTAGTTTACATGGGCCGCTCGCGCGGGCTGGGAAGACGAACCCTAGAACGCTCTTGGTCTCTGGCCACTGGTGGTGTCCCTGGAGTAACCTTTCCCAGTCCAAGCAGAAGGGAGTTCTAAATTGAAGGCGGAGACCAGAATTCCAACTCCCGCGCCTCCTAGAACTCACTAGGGCGAGACTTTTTAGCCATTTCTGGCTCCACACCTTTGGAAACAGAATTCCTTTACTTGATGGCGTCCAGTGTTCCCAGTTCCTCAGGCCCAGTTGGGTTTCAGCAGGAGGAGCAGACCC